CTGAGGCTTTCAGACAGCACTTGCAGCTGCTGAGCACTGTCAGAAACTCAAGCCAGAAACTTGGGTCGTGGTTGCCAACTCTGTGCTGTGCAATTTACAGGCTGGGCAGTTCCAGGATCCTGAGCACAGACCTCCTTGGGCCACGCAGAGCCAGAGCCCCCAGCACACCAACCACCTGGCAACCTGCTCATGGGGCTGCAGCCCCAGCCTCTCCCCAGTCACGACATTCCTGCGACCCCACTGCCTCCTTGGGAGCCTCCAAGCCTGTCCCCTGCCTCCTCTTGCCCTGGCCATGTCCCTGAGGTGCAGCCACCTCTGAGCCAGCCCAGTGGAAATGCTGGCCAGAAAAATGGATTTGTTACCTATTATGGAACTGGCCAATAATTACGCACTTGAGAGAGACATGGATTATTTATTTCTGTGCTCTGCAAGCCTGGGTGCTCGCTGGTATTCCACAAAGCAAGTACACCCACTATCAAATCTTTTTACTCTTTATACATTTTTGCAAACAAAGGTGTTAATGTTCCTTGGCTACATGTGACATGGTTCTCTTATTATTCTATCTTCTACTGGTTAATGATTCCCTCACTTCTCTTGCTTATTAGTTTAGATGTCCAGTCTTTCTCTTCTTTTGGGTCGGTGGGTTTCCTGTCTCAGCGGCCCCTGAGTTGATGGTCGCGATCTCTCCCTGCCACAATTACCTTTTACCCAGTTGGAGCTGATTCATCACAGTTGCTGAGTTGTCTTTATTAGTTTCTTCCTTATCTTGGCAGTTTTTGCCAAATGTCCTTGTGGCCCAGAAATTCTGCATTCTTCGTGTCCACTAGCAGTGGAACATCCTTCTTTCCAAGCTTTGTTAACACCCCCTCCCCCAAGTCTGAGATCATTGAAACCTGTTGAGCCCTAAACCTTAACAAGGCAATTCTAACAATAATAATTTTTCTTTCACTTAGAACTGGCTTCTTAGCTGCCATCTGTTTCACGCATTAAATCTCCTTTCCTCTTGGTTAGGCTTGAAAGTGGACAAAGATCAAACATCAGAGAACATCCTTTCTGAGGAAAATTTTTACGTATTCCACATTTTGCAACAGAAACAGCCGCTCCACAAGACTCCAGGGACAAGGCCGAGATGGCTTTTCCGTCAGCCCTGGTCGTAGGGCTTAGGGATGGAGTTTGACAGCGGGAAAGCGCATCAGCTGTGGCCGCCACGTCCGCAAATTGCGGGGCGGGCAGTGGGCACAGCTCGGGCGCGGAGGCAGCCGAGGGGAGGAGGGCGAGGGGAGGAGCGGCCTCCTCCCGGGGTCCGGGCGGGCAGTGTCGCGGCGCTGGGCGGGCTGGGAGGGCGGTGTGGCGGCGGAGCGGCCCGAGCGCACGGTACTGAGGCGGCGGGCGGGGAGTGTGAATGCTGCCGGGATTGGGGGCCCTGCCGGGAGGGCAAAGGGAACGTGCGCCACGGACGGGTGGGCACTTGAGAAACGTGCTTGAGTGTCCGGCCGTGCTGCTCCAGGGGGTTTGTCCAGGGGTTATTCCCCAGCGTCTCTCCTGCAGCATGGAGCTCCGACGGGCGGGTGGGTGTGCATAGAGGGTGTTCGTGTTCGCGCCTGAGTAGGTTCAGCAGGTATCCTAAAGAGGACCTGCTCACTGGAGTCCAGGTTTTGCAATATCTGGGGGTAATTTGCCTTTCATCTCGTCCAGACACTCCTCCTGGCTGGGGCGGTGGAAGGAACGCATTTTGAATCCAGGCTTGGCCTGAATCCCAGTGGAAACCACACGCCGGTGAGCAGTCACAGTTTTAAGATGGTCCGGAGGCCGAGCCGGGCTCGATGCAGCATTGTGTGTAAGGTCGTTCTGCTGGAACAGCCCTGTGCCGGCTGAGTTTGAGGAACACTGCTGCAGAGAACTACTTTGGGGTCCATATCCAATTAGGGGGAAAATTTAAGATTTTGCAGCAGATTATGAGCTTACTGTTAAATTCACTTACTTGTTTCTCATTGGAAGGCCAGTGCCTGAATTGATATGGACAAAATAGCATGATTTTTTTTTAATACAGTGATCATAGCAGTAGCACTACCTGCCTGGCTGAGGTCCAAGGAAGGTCTAATTCTAAACATCAGGAAAATTTGTGATTAATTTTCAGGTCCATTATTGCTATTCAAGAAACGTAATTTACCAATTTTGATACTCTTTCATGACTTACTATTTTACAAAGGAATACTCACTACAGAGCCATAACTAGGTCACCAAAATACCTTGCAATCCTATGTATGTGTTCAGCCTAAACCCCAAATTCAGACCTTAGGCAGTGCATTTCCAAGAAGATAAAAGGTTTTTCTTACTCGAACAAAAAGACTCAGCCCTTGGCCAATCCCCAAAAGAAACTGTGATGAAGAAATATGGGTGATGTTGATACCTGAAATTTTTTTCACTGACACTGGTTTTGCTCTTCAGCTTTCCCAGCTGTGTTGAGCAGAGCACTGGGCTGAAAGTGGCAAGCAGGGCTCTGGCTGGACTGAATTTTATCAGCTCCACATCTGCTTTGGGGAAAGGTGAGGGAAATTTGCTCTTTCTGCTAACGCTAGCCTGTCCTTATAGTGTGTTTCCCAGGCTTGATCCCACATGCTGGAGGTTAGAATGCTTGTCCAGTCTGTGAAGGTCCAAGTGCAGTTCTTAAGTATTTTTGAAATATGGAAGACTGAGAGCTCTCTTACTTGGTATAGCATAATTCACACACATACAGGAACTAGAAATGGAGCATAAGTCGTGGTCTTCTGTGGGTAGGGCTGGTAAGGGAGCTGTGGCAAGTCACTTCTCTGAATGCCTTATTGCTGTTCAGATGTCAGGAATCTAGCTAGACATCCAGCAGTTCTAGACTAGATGCCAAATCCAGTCAAGCCGTAATCAAGTCCTTATTATCAATCGTATATTTTTGTATTAGGAGAACTTTGTTACAAGAGACTGAGGTGTCTGGGGATATAGACATTGCCAGGGCTAGGTGGGAACTGAGCATTGTTTTTGAAGACCTGTAGTTTGGACAGGGGCACCACATTCCTGAGTCCAGTCCCTGTTTGCTATAGCGCCTGAAGATACCACTCAACACAAAGGACTTCAGTGGAGAGGCTGGGGATGTGGTCTCCTCTCTCGCTGTTGTGCTGTTTGTTTGTGCCTCTTTATTGACGCCTTCGGGATCATGGCCAAAATTTCCACTTTGTGGCTCAGTTATGTATTGTGAAGTCTATGCAAAATTAAACAAGCCTGCCTGTAAATAGATAAAACCTTGGCTTAACAATGAAGCATTCTGTTAGTCTGTGACTCTCTCTTCTTACAAAATCTGCCTCATTCATCTGGGACCCATTACTGATAAGAATACAGTGATAGCATTGTTTCCAGCACCGGGCAAGCTCACATCAGCTGCTGATGTCATACTGTGGCATGTGACTGCACATGTTGGGGAAATTTGAAAGGACAAAGTGTTTTACCATCATCTGGTGGGCTGACTTCAGCCCCCTGCTGCTGGGGGCATTGCCCAGGCCTTATCTGCCCAGCAGAGGTCCCAGTCCCATTTGTTTGGTTTTGATTTTCAAGTTTAGTTTTCAGGGCAAATGGGATATAAATCCCTGTTACAGTTTAACTGTAATAGAACTAGCTAAATAGAGAAGTGAGCAGGCCCGGTGAAATACTTTACTTTTAAAAGCTCATATTTGTAAAGAAACATGGGGCTCTGAATTGTCCTGTGAGAGAGGTGAAACCTGATGTTCCTATGTTGGTGTTCTTTGAAGCAGTTAATTTGACATACATTTTCAAGTTTGATATGACATGGGTGCTGTCACAAAACCCAACACCTACTAAAGATATTGCATCACTGCAAGGTTAAAAATGTGTTTATTCAGGAATATCCTACAGTTCTGCTTTCATTGTAAAACTCTAATGAGCTGTAAAAACTACATTATTATTTTTGAAGATATGTATATGGTTTAGTAGATGCTTGTTATAGTCTGTCATGATGTGATTTTGAATTGCTGCATATTCTGGTAGTGTGTATTTTTTCTTTTATTCCATTAATCCACAGAAAACATAGTTGCATCAAGCCCAAGTATCTAGGCCTTGGTTGTTCTTCTACTTTCACATTCATTCGACTGTTTTAAGTAACCTGGAGTGGAACATTTTAAATGCTAATTTAAAACATTTTTCCTGTAAAATCTTCATCTTGAATTTATTAGGAAACAAGAACTCTGAAATCATGGCAGGGAAACCCAAGCTGCACTACACCAAGGGAAGGGGGAAGATGGAGTCAATCCGATGGCTGTTAGCAGCAGCTGGGGTTGAGGTTTGTACCTTTTTTTTATAAAGTGATCAGATTAATCTGTGATTAAAATAGGTATTCTCTGGAAATGTTTCCTAATTGCATCTGTGCTTAGGGATATGCACAACATTGCATATTGTGATGCAGAATGCTTAGATTCAGTGATACACTCTCATGTTGTACTTCATGTATGCCTTGAGCAATAGTTGTGCAGTAAAAGGATTTTAACATACAAAGAGAATTAATAGGTGTCATTTTTGAAACATACTTTAAGATGAGATCTGAAATTGTTGCTACAGACAAAACTGTGTATCTCTGACTTTTTCTCAATGCTCATAAATTCCCTCTGTCTCATGATTCTTCTCCACTGAAAGACCATGCATGCCACATGAAAACTTTAGAACATTTTCTCCAAACAAAGTGCTTTTCATTCTTTGTGTCAGGATCTGAGTAGAATAAATCAGCAGATCTGCTCTAAAGGCAGCAGTAGGGGATTTATCTAGATTAACATCAGGTAAAGACCATCCTAAGGCATCTTAATTTCTACATTAGGTTTTTGTTTGAGTATGGTTCTTTGAAACTATTTATATTCCATTAGAAATAAAAAGCTTTTTTAACTCACTTGTCAGTGTTGCTGACAGAGAAGCTGCACAGCATGAGTGCTGAGAAGACAAAGATCTTGTCCTTATTGAAATGTCCTCACTTACAAAAAAAAGCCAGTGAGGGAAAGAGGGAGATAAATGCTGTGTAACAGAGGCATGCATAACTTACAAAAAAATTCTCAATATTTCATGTGGCATTGACTGCTTTTAAGTGAATGATTCGGTAGCTGTTAACAGTTCATGCAGGCAAGTAGACTGGTCTTTATGTTGGGGAAGCTTTATTTGGAGCATAATGCAGTGTACAATACTGGGGTGTTGGGGACACTATAGTCCTTCATTATTTGCTGGAGCAGAGATGAAGAATAGGAGTAGGGGATCTGTTGAGGAAACTTTCCTGTCTGACCATCCAGGAGCCACTCCAGCAGTCCTTAAAATAATTTAATCATGGTGCAACAACAGAATAACAGCTTGAGCTGATGCCTTCAAAGAGGGACCCCAAACAAAGGAAACCCATGGCTTTTATACTCTCACAGTCTAAGAGTTCAAAAGCCTGGGGTCACCTGCTCCTGCTGTGTCTCAGCTGGCTGGTGGCACAGGGCCCTGCGCCTTTTCTTACAGAAAAGGTTGGCAGTTCATGGTCTCTTGCCTCCACTTCCACCACCCAGAGCTCACCCTGCAGCTCATACTGCAGCTGCTCACCCATCTACCTGCACTGAATGTATTCCTCAACAGGGTCAACACAATGAGAGAAGTATAGAGAATAATGTGGAGAGGTGGAGTCTGATGTCCAGACTTCCTTTCACTTCTCTATTGCCTTTGGAGTGACAGTGTTGTTTTCTATTGATGCTTTTCAGTTTGAGGAACAATTCATAGAAACAAAAGAAGACCTAGAAAAATTACGCAATGGTGAGTCTGTAAACTGTACCCTAAACATAAATTCACACCTATCACACCTACATAATAAAAGGACAACAGGTGATATTTCTGTAAAACCTTCATAGAATCAGTTGGGTTGGAAAAGACCCCTGAGATCATGAAGTCCAAACCTTGATCCAACACTGCTGTGGTTACTAGACCGTGGCACTAAGTGCCACATCCAGTCTCATCTTAAAAACCTCCAGGGATGGTGAATCCATCACCTCCCTGGGCAGCCCCTTCCAATGCCTGATTACCCTATCTGTAAAGAATTTCTTCCTAATATCTAACCTAAACCTCCCCTGGCACAGCTTAAGACCATGCCCTCTTGTCTTACTGATAGTTGCCTGGGAGAAGAGACCAACCCCCACCTGGCTACAACCTCCTTTCAGGGAGTTGTAGAGACTGATGAGGTCTCCCCTGAGCCTCCTCTTCTCCAGGCTGAACAACCCCAGCTCCCTCAGCCTCTCCTCATAGGACTTGTGCTCAAGTCCCTTCACCAGCCTCGTTGCTCTTCTCTGGACCTACTCCAGCACCTCAATATCCTTCCTGAACTGAGGGGCCCAGAACTGAACACAGTACTCCAGGTGTGGCCTCACCAGCACTGAGTACAAGGGAAGAATCACTTCCCTGGACCTGTTGGCCACACTGTTCCTGATCCAGGCCAGGATGCCATTGGCCTTCTGGGCCACCTGGGCACACTGCTGGCTCATGTTCAGCTTCCTGTCAATACAAACTCCCAGGTCCCTTTCTGCCTGGCTGCTCTCCAGCCACTCTGTGCCCAGCCTGTAGGGCTGCAGGGGGTTGTTGTGGCCAAAGTGCAGGACCCGGCACTTGGCCTTGTTGAACCTCATCCTGTTGGAATCAGCCCAACTCTCCAGGCTGTCCAGGTCCCTCTGCAGAGCCCTCCTGCCTTCCAGCTGATCGACACTCCCCCTGCAGCTTAGTGTCATCTGCAAATTTGCTGATGGTGGACTCAATCCCCTCATCTAAACCATCAGTAAAGATATTAAACAGAACTGGGCCCAACACTGATCCCCCCAAAAAAAAACCTGAGTGTAAATCCAGAGGGTAAGCTTCTAGAGACTAACACTAGTCCTCAAAGCACTCCTAAATTTTAGCAGAGATTAAATTTTTGCAGTGAAAGAATTTTTGCATCACAATTGCTAAGGAGGAAGGACGAGCATTAGTATCCCTAATCATAGAATCATAGCACCTCCAGAGTTGGAAGGGATCCACAAGGATCATTGAGTCCAACCAGGATGGCAATGTTAGTATTTGTTACAGGAGGCAGAGGTAAGCCTGAATTAGTTCCCATGCTGGAAGCACAAGTATTTGCAGGAAAAACAGTGGTATATTTAGTAGCTCTTGTGGTGGTGAGAGTGTGGTGTTTCAGGTTATGCAAGGCTACTTTGAGACAGGGATGTCTTTGAGGAACAGTCCCATCACATGCAATTTGTAGTCATGGCGCTACAAAAATAAATCTGGCTTCTATGATGCCTCCAAATAGCAGAAGCTGAGAGGGAAATAAGTAACTGTAAAATTTTTCAGATACTATTAAGACAATAAAGAATTCTTTACAGGCATATAATACCGAGTATAAATACTGCTTCAATATGATGTGACCTGTAAAGAAGACCTGCTTCCTTATGGATGCATTCATCCCTCAGATTTAAGAATGTCTTGGTCTGTTAGCAGGTCTCTTCCTTAGTTTCAGTGTAGTGCTTCAGCAGTCTGAGTGGTTTGCTTCTTTTCCTTCCCTAGATGGAGTTCTGCTGTTTCAGCAAGTGCCCATGGTGGAGATCGATGGGATGAGGATGGTGCAGACCAGAGCCATCCTCAGCTACATAGCAGCAAAGTACAACCTCTATGGAAAAGACTTGAAGGAGAGAGCCTGGTAGGGTAGCAATGTGCTCACTAACACTCTTCCACGATTTTTAATATTTACCAAAAAAAATGTTGCTGTGAAATATCTGCATGTCACATGCATATACATCTGCCAGGGCTTTGGCTCCTCAGACCCATGGATTGGGTGATTGGACTTTGTGATTGATAAATTATTAACTGTCAGCTTTCTGAGAAAATTAGGGCTACCTTCAGACTCATTTGATTTCACAGATGAGAACTGCATTAAGTTCCTGGAGGAGAGTAATACAATAATAAAGGCTAAGTATGCCTTTTTTTGTCTTTAAATGGGAAAACAGAAGGAAAAAATTACAGCTGCCTGTAAAAAATGAAGTGTTGTTAAGTGTTCTAATTTCCTTTCTTCAACATGTAAATAATCTTTCACAGCTGGTTTAAAAAAAGATATGTGGTTATAGATATAATGCTACCAAAAGTTAAACCAATATTTCCCCATATTACTTTACTATGTAAGCCTTACTCTGTAAGCTTTTGTAAGAATGGCTACTTTCCATTCTCATACTTAAAGGGTTAATACAAAAGAAAAAAATCCTTATTTGCTTTTTCTTAAATAATGAAATAAACCTACCAATGTAGGTTTAAAAGTAAAAGTTTAGTTAAGTCCATAACCTAACAGACTGTCACTTACTATAGAGGCTTTTATTTTGCAACTCCAGAGATTGTGGGGATTATTACAGACTGGCAATTGGTACCCAGCATCCTTTCATGATTAGACCTCAAAATTATTTTTCTTTCCTAGTGTGGTTCGCATATGTGGTGTTTTCTCCCACAGCATAACCTAATACATTGTCAATGGAAAAGCATGAACTCCACTTTAAATACATTGGTTGCAGCCTTTTTATTTATACATTGCGTATTGCAGACACTGTGAGCCTGCTTATAAAATGTGTGTTTTGAAAAAAACTGAAAGGGCTTTTTTCAAAGTGGAAGAACAAGAAAATAAACCAGTGTCTTATGTTACATTCACTAATTTTACTCAGTGATCGCTTCAGCATTGTATTTCAGGAAAATAACCAAAATGGAATGTTCGAATTATAAATATGAAACAAAAATATTTGTTTCAGGATTGATATGTATGTGGAAGGAACTACAGACCTGATGGGAATGATCATGTATCTCCCTTTTCAACCAGCTGATACAAAAGAAAAGAATCTTGCCTTAATCATTGAACGAGCTACAACTAGGTACTTTCCTGTTTATGAAAAGGTAAGTGATAAATCACCAGTAGTTTACAAAGATGTAAAGTGGTTCCCCCTTCCAGCCCACTTCCCTCTCCTCACACATATACTTTTCAGAAGGCAAGTGACAGTACAACTCTGGAAATGTATGATGGAGCCAGTATTCAGCAATATGAAAAGAGAGCCACAAAATAATTTTTTTCTGGTTTCAGCACTGAGTCTCTTTGCTGTCTTTTTTAAGACTCCTCAAAGAACAGATCCTTCTTTTTAAAGCTAGCGTAGTGGATGATGGCTTCTTAGCATTTTGCATAAATGCGCCATTTAAATACTTGTGCCAGCCTTCAGAACTTATTGCCTGAAAGTGTATTAGGTTATCATAGAATCCTTAAAGTTGGAAAAGACCTTTAAGATCATCAAGTCCAGCCATCAACCCAGCACCACCACCACGTTTACCATTAAACCATGTCCTCAAGTGCCATATTCACATGTTTCTTGATCACTTCCAGGGATGGTGAGTCCACCATTTCCCTAGCAGTCTGTTCCAGGGATTTACAACCCTTTGCATTAAAAAGAAATTACCTAAGATCTAATATAAACCTCCCATGGCACAACTTGACTCCATTTTCTCTTGTCCTGTTACTTGTTACCTGGAAAAATAGGCCAACCCCACCTCACTACAACCTCCTTTCAGGGAGTTGTAGAGTGATGTCTCCTCTCAGTCTCCTTTTTATTCTTGTTATTCAAAGTTAAATATAATTGTCCTTTACAGTTAAGGATCTAATTCTATGACCTTTCCTAAATCCATTGCCTAAATGTATTGTACTGAGAGATTATGACTGTCTTTCTCTGAATTGCTCTTTGAGCATCCTTAAGTGGGCACAAAAAGGCTCTGCAAACAGGATGTATCTAGCTTAAAAAGCATAAAGCAATTATTTACTGGCTAACATGTGCTAAAGAGTTAGTCTCTAATGAGCTGTGAGGGAAGGCATTGGTATGCTTGCCACCCCCACAGAGCACATGAAGAGTCTTGGCTAGGGAAGAGTTGGTCAGGAAGGGATGGGTTGTTCTTTGCTTCTACCTGGAACATTGCCATTTTATACCAGCTTGCTGTTTGTTCTGTTGTTTCATTTCTCCTGTAAGGATATTTTAATTTTTTTGTGTGTTACCATTTTTCTGTTTGATCCTCATCTCATGACTCTACTTGTGTTTGTAGCTTTACCTTTTGTGCGTTGTATGGTTGTACTGTACAGACTTTCTCACAGCACTTTTTCAGAGCATAGTGGTCTCCTTGGAAGTCTGTGCCAAGGGTACAAAGCTGTGTTGTTTCCGAGCTGAGTTGGGTTTCCAGCTTGAATTCTTGGTTACCAGGCAGCTGAAGTCCATTCAGAAAAATACAGGACTTCATGCAATTTCATGTCCCTCTTTATCAGAGCCTTAAATTGCACAGGTAAAGCCCACAGAGGCTGCCCTGTAAAATAATGATGTAAATGACATAATCCAGCACTTCTGTAATCAGAGTTCATGTATATCCACTGCCATACCAAGGGAGGGCTGTGCTGAGAGAGATTGATTGCACACATTATTCTTTCAAAGATTTGAAGTCTGATAAGTATTCAAGTTATTAAAAAATAAAAAAGGAAATGTACACACCAACATTCTCTAAACCTGTGCCTAGGTTGCATAAACTACTGCTGTGATATGTTTTAGTGTGTATGCTCCCTGGAGAGGAGTCTTTAAAATAATCCATGTTCTCTTACAGTAAAGACACAGCTAAAACTCTTCTGTGATTTTAGCCTAGTTAGAATGGTTAATAATTTTCTTTCTGTACCAGTTATTTAAATGTCCATTGATTCAGCTTACCAGGGTTTGCAGTCTGACAGAAAACATCCCTAGCTGTAAGTGCTCACTTTAAGCACTCAGAACCCAGATAGAGCAGCAAAAAGCAATATAAAGCCCTGCAGGCAATCGGGTTCTGATGCTCTGTTTGGGAGTTTCCATACAGTTTTGATAAAAAAGCTGTGGTGGACTTTGTTGGAACAGTGTAGGAAATAACTACATGAAGGTATCAGCTTTGCCTCTGCCAGGAATTACTGCCTCTGTTGTAAAATTGGCAGATGGGACTGGAGAAGGACTTGGCTTCCAAAGTAGACTGAGGTGTTAGTTTTACTGCACATTTGGTACTTGTTTAAGTGTAGCATTAGCGTAGCTTAGGCACAGACACACGTCCCTCCCTTGGTTCTGCTATGAGGGTGATAGTCTTTAGGAAAAAGGTAGGCTGCAGAGCTGGTAACTGCTCTGAAACTGTTCTGCAACATTCACCAAAACTTGTCTACTACAGTTGTTTGTAGCTTTGGCAGGGTGTGATTCTTCCATCAGCAGTTTGCCACAAAAGAATCCTTCTTACAGGATGAAGGGTGGAAAGGCTGTGTTCCTTCATTCTGAATGTATTTCAAACTATAATCAGCAATCTCAAATTTTGCTGAAACATTTGCTGAAAATCCATTTGACCATTTTCTTAAAAAATTCTAGGGGTACTTACACATAAACTGTCCTGACTACTTCTTTCAATTACTTCAGTCCTGTTTCTTTTGCATGATTAAGTTTTCATTGGGGTACTGGACTTGATATACAGCTACTTGGTGCAGTAGGTTAGAATGAGAGATAGGGCCACACATGCTGCTGAAACATGAGTTCTGATTTAATTTTTTATATAAAGAATATCTATCACTTTCTAATTTCATAGGTTCTTGAATGGCTTTTTCCTGCTGTGTGTTTTTGTAGATATCTGCCTGTAATGAAATATCTAGATAAAATTGTTACATCCTATATGACTTTTTGAATTTTTCTTTATTTGTTCATATTTTATAGGCCTTAAAAGATCATGGACAGGATTATCTTGTTGGCAACAAATTAAGCTGGGCAGACATCCATCTGCTGGAAGCCATTTTAATGTCAGAAGAATGTAAGCCTGATATACTGTCTGCATTTCCTCTGCTACAGGTTGGTAATCATCTGATCTCAATATGGAACATAACATAGAAATATCACTGACCAGTCTTAAAAGTTATTTGATGTTTACATCTTTTGAGCCATTGTACTGATGGTTCTCTGGTCTATTTCTGTGGACTACAAAAACCTAACTCACTTGCACTGCCTTGCCCCCAGATCTGCTAGGGCCTTACCTTTCTCCAGCTTTACTTTTCCCAGCTGTTCTCAGCTGGCAGGAATTCGCTTACTGATGCTACCAGTTTGGTCCTTTAACTGCTACTTTCATGTCTTCAAACACAGCAGCGAGCATCAGGAAGGGAAGTCTGCACCCTGGTGTGTGTATAGTTCCTGTCCTTTTCTTTTTGCTAGCAAAATTGTATTTTGAAGAAATCATATAAAAAGAGCAGTTAAGTTTCTTATGTCATGACTTCTGTGGTACTTTGCACTGAAATATTCCTGTCCTTGCCTCTCCCTCCCCCCCAAATATATTTGTTGTGGGTTTTTTGCTTTTTATTTTTTTCTTCCACTTTTTACTAGATGAATCTTAACTCTTTAATTTCTCCCATCCCCATCTGGGAAACGAAGGTAAACTTTATAGCATCAGCATCACAGATCAGAAAAGGCTACTACCTTTCTCTGTTTAGTAGTGTATCTGACAAAGAAAAATCTAAGTCACCTGATTATTAAGCTATAACGGATGGAGTTATAATTTCATTACACTCATTGGCTTTACTGCTGCTTCTTACAGGCTTTTAAAGGAAGAATCAGCAACATTCCAACAATCAAAAAATTCTTGCAGCCTGGCAGCCAGAGGAAGCCACCAACAGATGAGAAGTTTGTTGCTGTTGTGAGGAAAATATTCAATATCTAATCTGCTGAAGATAGCACAACTATAGTATGTTACCAGAGCTGTGCCTTGTAAGTGTAAATTGCATACTTGTGCTCCGTAGCTTGCATCACGTAGTCAGTGTTGAAAAAGAATACACTTTTAAATTAGAGTAAAAGACTAATTTGGACCTGTTGAGTGCAGAAAATGGTATTTCATTGAGCAGTTACATGAAATAAAATATACTGATACTTTGTGTGTGTTCAATTATGGTACATGCTTGGTAGGATAAAATGTTTCAACTGTAGCTTCCACAGTACTGTAGAAAGCTACCCTACCCCCCATCTTCCTCTTTATAAATTCCAGGAGAGAGGAGACACTCCATGAAAATGGAGAAGTCATTTAGATTCAGGCCTCAAATCTTTTGGGTTGGCTCTCTAGGTGTTCTCCGAGACCAAAGTTCACTGTCCCCTGCTGTATTTCACTGCTGTCTCTGTACTTTCAGAACTGCAGTTTAAAAATTAAATAAATAAAAACATTTAAAAGAAAATAAAATTAAAACTCATGATCCTTGTAAGTTACTGGGCAAAAAAAAAATTTTTAGTCCCCACATGAATCTCTTAGAAGCTATTTTTTTCACTGAAAGATCAAAGTACTTGTGCTTAATTGGCCTGCTGTGGTTTACATCCATTGAAAGTACCTATTCCCTTGCTCTTCTTTTTGCTCTTGACTGGATGGGCAGTGAGGCAAATGCCCCTTGAACATTTTTTTGTTAAGGTTTTACCTTCTCCAGTCACTTCCCAAGTAGTTATAAAGAGAACTGCACTGACTGCTTACCTTTTCAGTGAAAGAGTTAGTTTTACTTCAACAGTGCTTAAAGCGCTCACTACTGTTTCAGATTCTTTACCCTGATTTCACAGGAACCACCACTGTTCCCTTTAAGAACAGTGCCATAAACTATCCTTCTTTGCAGTTAGTTCTTTTTCTCAGTAGGACTCAAACTGATTAGGCAAACAAATAGTGGAAATATAGAATTGCTGCCCAGCAAAGTTAACTGCTTTTCTGACTTGTGCCTAAGAAAAACCACATGCATCTCAGAGATACAAATGACAAGCATCCCACTCACCTGGGCACTGCTGAGTTCCGAAGAGTTTTACGTTAAATTACGTCATTAGCTGGAAGTAATAGTTTGCCATGCCCACCATAGTACTTGTTTCATTGAGCTATTTCTCTGTTACAAACAAGTGCTATGATTTGGGAACCATCACAGAGACTGGAACAGAACATCGCTGTTGTGTTCTGTGAGCTTTTAGTCCCATATGATATGTTGGACTTGCTGAGAACACTACCCGTGTTTTGGCTGCTCAGGAATTCCAGCACTAGCTTCTGGATTACAGTGGAGCTTGGAGGCTAGCCCCAGCCCCCTGCCCCCATGGCTAATTCAGAGAACGCACAGAAGGATCAACTCTGGACATGCTCTGAAACGCAACATCCTAAACTGCATTTAGGATCTAGGGTAGCAGCAACTGCAGATTGCCTTTTGCATTTCAGCACTGGGTTGCCTTAGCTTTTCACTGCAGCTTAATCTAAGGCGTTCACTGTGTCTACATTGCAAGTATCCAGATCTGCATGTCACCAAAGCCTGCTATATGCCTGATACGCCTTCAAGTTCTGCTTCATGGTGAAATGAAGCACATCGTATTTGTGCAGCTGTCATCCCAATCTGAAATCTGTAACATACCAGCTCAACCAACCTGGCAACACCTGGAGGTGACAGATACCAACATCTGTCAGCAAAAGATTCCAGAGCTGTAGGCTGTGGTTTGGGGTTGGTAAGGATTTTTTTGTGTTGTGTGTTTTCCCCCTGCTTTTTTTTGCCAGTTATGCCTGAGCTGCTCACACCACCTTGTCACCACCTAAGCCCCTGCCAAGAACAATAACCTTGGTATTCCCCTAGTGGGTTTGTGCACTGAGATCTGATACACGATAGCCTTCATAAGCAAGCTTTGATGAAAAAAATGAAGCAAAATTTCTGTCTTCAATATTGCACTCACCCATACTCAATTTACTAATGGTTTGGCTGTACACTTCCTCTACACCAGAAGACAGTCTTGGCCAAGCTTTGAGACCCAGGAAATATTTATTTTGTATGTCAAACAAAGCAACTTTAATCCTGAATAGTTTATGACTGAACAGTCTCCTTTGCTTCAATAAGACTGGAACAGCAAACCTGTTCAAGAGTACTGAGAGTTTGGAACCTCTTTCTGCAGGATGGCAAACATTCCTCAGCTGTGGTTCGTGTCAGTGGCAATTTACAGCATGATATATGTTTTAAACCACTAGAGTACAAAGCAGATCACCAGACTCTTCATTGAACAGTCTCACTCAGCTGCATAAAAACTTGAGAAGTTTCAAACATTTTACATTTTATTTGAACACTGATAATAGGTTTTAGATTTGGACTCAGTGGAATAAGAAGTGTTTGAAAGGAAGGGTTAGGGTTTTCTAGTGCAACACAGTACAGGCCCGAGACTTTATTGATTTAGAACTGATTATTTAATAGACAAACTACAAAATTATGCTTCAATACAAGATACCTTTTTAGCATAAAGATGTATTTATATATATTCTTCTCTCAGAGATACAGTGCGAGACTAATTCAATTTCCTGGGGTGCTCAGCACCCTGAAAAGAGATCAAACTTACAGAGAAAGATTCCTTGAGTTAACAGACTGCTTAATGGAAGTAGATCAAAATATATCAACAAAACATTTGTTTTAGTTTTTAAAAAAAGCTTGCAAAATATCAGCCCATGTCAATCAAATAACAGGTACAGATCTTTTACAGAAAAGATAAATGCAATGTAAGATTTGTGTTCAGACTTGTTTTAAAATATGGAGAGCATGTCTGTTTGTTCGGTGGGCACGGCAGTCATACTCATGTCTTGAGTTGCTAAATTCTGCTACAGCAGCATAAAAACAAGCCTCAAAATCATCAAAAGACTGCAAAAAAACCCAAAAAAATATAATTATGGCTGTGCATGAACAAAACCAGTGAAAGTCATCATTAAATAACAGGGCATTCATAAATAACTGATGCTTAGAGCCTTATTAAGCAATCTTTTTAAGTGTCTAAATCTACACACTCAGTGTCTGTTGAAACACACAGCCCACCTAGGCTGGAAGAGTGATCCACAATGGACAATGTTTTCTGGTGTAAGTCCTGATTCTTAAATTTTGCATCTTGACAATTTGCATCTGATTTTTATCTCCCTGTCTAAAAATCCTGGAGTAAAACAGAATAGTCTATATTAAATCTGGTAACAATGAAGCAACAGTTATTATTTCTTCAGAAGATAGAGATTCTGACTTACAGCTGAAAAATGTTTTGAGTTACAGAGTCATTGGGAAAAAAAAGTTTTTACTTACTCCATAATTTAATTCCAAAATAAGACGTACAGAAAATGACATTTTCCAGAATGTCCAATAGCAGCAATAAAGCAGTTGGAATGGTTAGAAACATAATTTGCAGAAATACTGACCAAAGTCCTTAGGTCAGGTCAAAAATGTTGTGGTTTTCAATGGTGCTGTGCTTCCTGTAGTTTTGAATGCAGCACTTCTAAACCAAAGTCTTGGCACTTTTTTAAGATGACTGTGTGAAATTAGACTAATTATATGGATATGTATTCAAAACCCCTGAGGCTTATCCAGGTTCTTCCAAGAGCCTTATCAATATACATTAATATTTAATTGCAGACCTCTCCTTTCTGTGCTGCAGAAGTCACTTCTTATCAGCTGTATCTGGCTAGTGAGATGAAAAAGCTGTTCACTATAAACAGGACTGTAACCTCCAAACTAATTTCACTTAAGCTGTGTAGTTGCTAAATGATAGTGACTACCGCTGATACGGCTTTGAATCAGGTGTCAAATGGCAACTATTTGAAAATCAGCAAAATCTTTACATTAAGATCCTCAGTATTTACCTCAGGCATGCTACTAGTCCGGCTGGCATTAATTTCTTGGACCTCTTGAACCTCATTCCCATTATAATGGTCAAAAGAAAAGATGAAACTGTAAAAGACAATTCAATATATTAATGCTCTCACTTCTCCCAGCGGAGCATTCAGGAACATGGAGAATTATCAAAGGTCAATGCTGTTTTGCTATGAACTGCAATTTAATAAAATTAGATCAGATATAGGGTCTGTAAAAACATTCTTGCTTTTCCAAAATACACCACTATGATTTCTTTCAGCTACAAATAAGGTTTCTATGTGCAGCAGAATGCTAAATCTTATTCCACGGATACTAAGTAAGTTTGTCAGACAGTGAATTCTACTCCCCCTGTTACTACATTCATAGGGATACAAATAAAGGAGGAAGAATCTTTGTAGTAACAGTAACATGTATGCTGAATTACAGGAATAGTGTCTTATAAATCCCACCACCCCAGATCACTGTAGCTGTTTTCTAACTATTCAAGGAGCTAGTTCAATCAACTTTTTTTCTGTTTTATTTTTAGAATATTAGCTCTTTATTTGTTGAGCCTTGGAAGGTTTGCCACTTGTTTTTGCTACAGAATATGGCTATCAACATCTTCTTCATCATGACCACAAGTTCACTTGTATCCTTTTGTTACAAGGGAACCATCCATGTCTGTGACAAGAGGTGGGCAGCCCAAGAGGGAACAAATGCAGCACAAGCAGCAGAAAACAAACATCGTGAAAGAAATTGCATCTTCTTTCTGGAATAGTTTTACCTAAAAATGGAGGCAGCAGTGAACTCATCAGGCAGGGGGATTTCATCTTGAACTATGGCTGCAGAGAACTACGTAAATGAGAATCAGAGGATCATAGAATATGATGAGTTGGAAGGGACCCATCAGGATCACTGAGTCCACCTACTGGCCCTGCATAGGACACCCCAAGAGTCACACCATGTGCCTTAGAGTATTGTCGACACACATCTTCAACTCAGACAGGCTTGGTGCTGTGACCAGTTCCCTGGGGAGCTTGTTCCAGTGTCCAACCACCCTCTGGGTGAAGAACCTTTTCCTGATATCCAACCTAAACCTTCCCCAACTCAGCTTCATGCTGTTTCCTTGAGTCCTGTCACTAGTCACCACAGAGAAAAGATCAGTGCCAGCCCCTCACCAGGAAGTTGTAGACTGCAATGAGGTCTCTCTTCAGTCTCCTCCAGACTGAACAAACCAAGTGACCTCAGCTGCTCCTCACACAGCTTCCCCTCAAGGCCCTTCACCATCTTCATTGCTCTCCTTTAGATGCTCTCTAACAGCTTAATTTCTTTTTATATTATGGTGCCCAAAACTGCATGCAGTACTAAAGGTGAGACTGCGCAAGAGCAGAGCAGAGCGGGACAATCACTCCTTTGACTGGCTGGCAATGCAGAGAATACATAAAATTGCAAAGATAGCTGGCTTCATCAAACAACTGTCACCTGAAATGCTTCCTAGAAGTGGGCAGAGAGGCAGGACTTCTCATAGGCAGCTGGGCTTTATCACTCTTGCAGCCAAAGTAATGCCAGTTACACAAATCTCTTCTTTTTATGGAGCAGTTAAAAACCATCTGGCTAATTCTCTTCAAACTCCACTGTCTATTCCTGTGAACAGTCCTGTGTTAACAGGTGTCAAAAATTAGTTTTAAACTCTCTCCAGCATTATAAAACAAGCTCTGACAGTTACAAGTATCTTGCAGAATTCTACCAGCTTTGTGCATTCATTAAAGATACCCTGCAAAAAACCCCTATTACGATCCATTATCCATTGCTCTTATTTTCTAGTCCCATAGCCTTGATCCGCTCAGGAGTGTCTGAAGAGTGGACTATTCCACAGTAGTTGTCTTGCCAGAACTCTGAGTATCTTTACATTTTATTACAAGCTACAAAGCATGTTCACTCTGCAATGTTATTTTTTTCCAGTTGCTACTATCTGGCTTTTCACATGTGCCATTGACTTTTTAAGATGTTCAACTTTTTGACCTGATTTTCTAAAGTGCTGTACATTCAGTTTCACCTTAAATCAGTCAAAGAAATTCAGTAAATCACAACAAATTCAATTCAGTGAATCATATTCAGAGCAGAATCAACTTGCACTGTGCATAGCACACTTGCATACCAGTGCTCTTTGCATACTGAAGTCTGACTTTCCACACCTGCTTCAAACACATAAAATTGCATTGAAGTATTCAAGAAAGCACAGAGCTAATTTCAAGGCGAGTAGGAAAATGCCTGAAATAATAATTTACAGAACAACTAAGAGAATTTGCCTGAGGTATCCATATGCTACATACTCTTTGTATGTAGGACAAGTTACAAGAACCCTACTTTCAAGGTCTTGTACTAAAACATTACCTACGTTACTGTAGGAGACTCTTGCCTAGGTGATAAATACTATAGATAATTATGGGTTTGGAGGAGTGGTTTTTCTTTTAGATTTACTAACCTTTTAAAAGTTTGGGTACTTGCTTCATTTTACATTGTAATTTACTGTACTGCTTTCTAAGTTCAGAGTGGTCACTTTAATCCATGCACTTAATTTCCATCTTTCATTTGTGCTCTGCTTTTCACACTTTGGCAGGTTAGGCATAAGTGAAAGCATTCTGATTTTCTACAGAAGCAATGCACATTTATTACAGAAAGCCCGTACTCTTCTGAAACTATCATATAGAGTAACCACCAAAGGTTGTTAAGGTATGGGAATGTGTCTAATTCTTCTTTCCTCTGAAGTTTTCCTACTGAGTTCTTCATTCATTTTGGATATCTATGTATCTACCAGCCAGATACACCAGGCTGGAAGAGATTAAGAGCAGCCTGAATGGTTGGTCCTGGCAGAGTACTTTGTACAAACACTTCCTAACTCACTTGAGGCAAAATGACAACCTTCTTTGATACATTCAGCACAAGTGGATACTGAAGAGGGCACCCATTCATAGCCAAGGTTAAATATATGTTTAGGTTTTAAGCAATTAGAACATGATCTCTCTGCAAACATTCTAAACTAAGACTGTTTTAAAAAGTCTTTTTTCCTTTTACTCTACAGGAAAAAAACTTTCTAAGGCAGGTGAGGTGAACTCTATCTCATCTGTATTGCCATAATTTCTACTAAATAAAAATATACATTTCTTCAGTTGAGAGAAAGTCCTCACATGCCTACAGCCACATGAAATGCAGAACACCGACTATTTCAGTATATCTGATGTTCACAAGCACATTAATGGAAATTTTGTATTAGTCCTTTCAAAACCAAGGAATTGGGAAACAGGCAAAATTTAATAAGTTTTAATTAGTCTCCTCTTCCACAATTTCTGTATCTAAATTAGTGATTTAATTGACCCATAAAAGTACAATTCCATATGCTAGTTAAAAGCATCTCACACTGAATGATTACAAATTTACACATACTTCAGGCTATGTCTTCATTCAAAAAAATTTTTTTTAAGAGTGGCATAACTTAAAATGGGCCAGGTCATGGTGGCAAAACCGAAAATCCAATTTTAGGTCATCTAGGAGCAGATCAGATACACCATTATCACCTTTATTAAAGAACTCGGTGGGAACAATTTGCTAACAGTGCTGCTCAACATTTTTTTGAAATGGAAATTTTTATAACTGTGATTGGTGTAAAGCACAAAGCCAGTATGAACAGGATACCGCAAGTTCTAAGTTCAGAAAAAACAATTGTGTACTCACACGATCTGGATTAAATGAATTTTAAATGCATTTCTGCATGTGAAACCACAGCCCAAGCCACCTTTGCTAAAACGATGAGTGCAACAAGCTCCCAATTGCTCTTATTGCAAATCACTTGTGCAAGGTTAATGTCCCCTTTAGGGACTGTAGTTTCTTGTGTCCGTGAGGGTTTCATGGCAAACTAGCTAACATGACAATTATTGCATAGTTTGTATTCTGTCTTTCTTAGTAGCAAAGGAAAAACACTAAATCAAAGTATTTGTTTCACTGGGGGCTGAGGATACGTTACATTATGTAAGACTGGATCCCACACCTACTTTATTGCTGAAATTACTTTCTAATCTGTAAAGCTAATGATTCAATTGCAGTACTATCCCATGTTTCTCAGCTGGATTTCACAATATGTGCAATGTTAGGTAACCATCTAATAAAAGGAGGTGCTGCCAGGTGGTACACACCTGCTGGCACTGCGTAAATGATCTGCCTTACCTTGAGAATGGTTCTAGTTCAAGTCTTGAATTTTGCAAGCTAAGTTGAAGTGTCAAACTCTATTTAAAACTCAATATTTAAACCAAAGCAATATTCAAAATTTACTAAAGAGAGAATTTTACATGCAGTTCAGGATACTGCTTGTTGGTTTGTTTGTTTACTGTAGTAAAACACTTACACAATGATATCTTCACATTTCTCGGATCACATGTTACGCAGTAAGCTCCATAACCAGCCACAGAACCAAAGGTGAGGCCAGCAGCTAAAGAGATTTTGCTACCTGCAAGAAACCATTCAAGTGTTATTTCTCAATACAATGTCTTTAAGCTCAATCTTTATACAGCAGTTCTCTCTCTATACAGTATTATCCAAATATTTTGAAAAAAGAACTGATTTTGCCACAGTCCAGCTAGCTTACCCACTGTGAATAGAGAGTATTACTTCTGTAACTGGGTCATTCTCCTGTGTGGTAGTACAGGCAAAGTCAACTAAGTTAGAATAAGATGATCAGGATCCAATAATACTTGCGATTTGGGAAAAATAATACTTGAAGCACAAACCTAAATTTAGCTATTACCTCTATCATACATACCTTTAGAAGGATTTTTGTAATTTATCTGAACTATCTGTTCATTTTAACTATATCTTACAGCACTTGGGAGCCTCCAAAAATGGTAGAAATGTGTCAATATATATAAAGAGTAAATTGGACAACACATGTCCAACATCATAAGGCCTTTCAGTCTGACATCAGTCCTGGACAATAAAATGGTATCACCAACATCACATTTAATTAATAAAAAATAAAAACCCAATTAGATGGCAGTGAGGATGCAAATAGAGCTTCCAAAAGTAACATGACATCTTCTTTCAGTGTTATTGCAAAAGGGGTTCATAAATCCCAGAGTTTCAGTAATATATTTAGGTTTCTGAGCACACATTTGTCTTGGTACCATATGATAAAAGCATAGAATCAGCAGGCATTATTTGGATTAAGCTGATCCCAAAATGTTTGTAAAGAAAGAATCCAGACCCCCAGGTATCACTTAGCTCCCAATTCTGTTATTTTGAATATTTTTAATCAAGACTTTGCAGGAAAATGGAAATCATTACCAATAAAAAAATAATCTGTCACAAGGACTGACCAACCAAGAGTGAAGAAAAAAGGTGAATGGGATAGTTAGTGAGTGCAGCTGGGTGTAAACACAAAAATACAGCACATGTTTTCAGAGTGAAGCCATGTCTCTAAGAGCAAAGCATGCACACACTACGAAGGGAAACAGTGACTCTAAATCACAAGAATCAGGATGAATAATGGCCACAGGGAAGGAGAGCGCTGCGCTGCTGGAAGGAACTTTGTGGGAGAGCTGACGGGACCAGCCCGGAGCTCCCGCCTGCCCGTCCTCGGTACCGCTGCGACCTCTGCCGGGTGCTGGGCTCGGGCACGGCGCTGCCACCTGGGGGACTGCAAAAATCACTGAAATGCGTTTTATAGTAAAGCCGGCCTCCTTATCTTAGAGGGAAAAGACACAGTTCTAATAGTACGAGAGAATTAACCACCAAATCAGAGTATGCAAGTAAAAGCGGTCCTTTCCAGTGTTTTTCTGGGAATGACAGAATCAAGCCTGGGTGTCTCTGTAGAAAATAAGCTGTAATCAAAGATCATCTACTGTGCTCAACACAGGAATAGTTACAGAAAATGAGAAGGCCCAAAACACACCAAAGGTCAAAGATAACATGACAGCCCCTCTTTGCCCTGAAAACAAACTCATCAGTCACCACTTAAATGCTTAAGCTGACCCAAGAACATCTTGTGAGACTCAGTGCATTTACAGCAGTGCAGGACGGATTTAACATGCAGTTGTGTTAATTACAGCAAAACTTTCATGTCTCACATTGCATAGAGGAAATTCAAACGCTTCATTTCCAAATCCTGCTGCCTCAGTATTTACCTTTACGAGTGTATCCTACAACACCTCCAAAAGCCAGCAACGAAGCATATGCAAAACCAATCCAGTCAATAGCCATGGTCCCAAATCTGGAAGAGAAAACACATTCCAACTGAAGGCAAACAAATTCCTTCCTCCTGGTAGAAAAGAAATCATTACTTAAAGGTTTCTAAATAACACCACAGTCTTCTAAGTCGTGTTTGACTACTATGCCAAAACATTCAGAAGGTATGTCTGTTGGCTATTGTACCATTTTTTCACTAACTGCTGCCCTTCCTTACACCCCACTATCCGGGTATTTCCATTAGGGGATTTTTTGGGATGTGTGTGGCATGCATTTTTCCCAGTCAAAAATAAATGTATGGAAGCAAAAAGCTTGACATCATCCAAAGCATCGGTTTTGTTGCACTTGTGCCACATGGTCGATCTGGGCACACACTATGGATACATATAGGTCTTCTGAGTGCACAGCTCAGTGCCCTTTCAGGCACACTGCACCTGGTGCATTTTAAGCAGGACGTCGTAGACCCTGCAACACTAGGCAAACCCAGGAATTTTCACAGTCTACCCAAAGCTTCCAGGCAGAAACTTAGGCTGTTTTGGGAAGCTATATGTACAGTAGCTTTATCCTTTCTGTGTCTATGCCCCTTTTGTTTCACCTTTCCATTTTGACGACTGTCGGAAGTTAGGCTCCTGTCCTCCATAAAGCATTTAAGTTTCTCTTGTGACATCGGTCCCCACTCCTCCGGCTGAGCGGCGCGAAGGCAGCAGCGGCAGTGCCGGGCAGGGCACTGCAGCCCGACAGCCCCCGCAGCGCCACGGCCTCTCCCACCAGTCTGGGGCGCATCTTTCCCCCCTTCTCCCAGATAAAGTGTACGCTTAATTAAGCGCATCTTTCTTTATACCTGAGCAGGTGTGCCCTTGATCACACTGTTAAAGGGTGGCAGCAAAGAGTGCACACTCAGCATTTCATGTCCAGCCTTTAATATTAAAGCGAGCAACTCGCAACGAGCCCCCTCCCCGCCGGCTGTAACCCTCTCAGGGCAAAAGCTGGATTCGGGAACCACGGCGCCCCCGAGAACGGGGTCTGGCGCGGCAGGGGCCACGCTCACAGCCCGGCCTTCGGGGCCTGGGCAGACGGCGTTCGGCGGAGCGCGGCCGGGGCCCTCCATCTCCCGCTCGACCCCGCGCTCGCTCTCCCCGCTCTCGCGGTGGAGACCCCGGGACAAGGCCGATACCCCGCTGGCCCTCGGCCGCCCCCGCCGAGGCTCATCCTCCCCGCCGCCCGCCGTACCTCGTCCCGCCGCCCTCCGACCTGCCCCAGCCCCGCCTCCCGCGCCCGGCGGGCACCGTGTGGCGCCGCGGTCCCGTCTGGCTGGCCCAGCCCCGGCTCGGCCCCCGGGGAGGCCCTGCCGCCGTTATGGGCGGCGCCGCGGCCCGGCCCGCCCGCAGCGCCGCTGGCGGAGCGGAGGCTGGTGGCGCTTGGCGAGGCCGGGCCGCGGGGAGACGAGTGATGGGTGAAAAGTTGTCGGTGAGCCGGCAGTGTGCCCTTGCGGCCGGGAAGCAAATAGTATCCTCGGGTGCATTGGGAAGAGCGTGGCCAGCGGATCGAGGGAAGTGATCCTCGCTCTCTACTCAGCCCTAGTGAGGCTGCATCAGGAGTTCTGGGCTCCTTAGTATAAGAAAGACAAGGAGAGGGTCCAGCGGAGGCCACGAAGATGATAAGGGGTCTGGAGCATCTCTCTCATGAGGAGAGGCTGCTGGAGCTGAGCCTGTTTAATCTAGAGAAGAGAAAACAGAGGGGATCTCACTAATGCATATAAATATCTCAAAGGCGGGTGCCAAGAGGATGGTGCCAGACTGTTCTCAGTGGTGCCCAGCAACAGGACAAGGAACAATTGCAATAAACTAAATAGCAATAAACTAAACCACAAGAAGTTTCACCTCAATATTGAGGAAGAACTTTACATTGAGGGTGGCAGAGCACTGGAACAGGCTGCCCATGAAGGTTGTGGAGTCTCCCTTTTTGGAGACATTCAAAACCCACCTGAACACATTCCTGTGTCACCTGCTTTAGGTGACCTTGCCTTGGACTGGATGAACTCCAGAGGTCCCTTCCAACCCTAACAATTCTATGATTCTGTGAGATGGGGCTGTGCTGGCGCAGGGCAGTGTGGCTGCGCACTGTGATTGTCGGGGATCCTCTGCAGCAGCGCCCAGCTCATGGGGGGCATCTCCTGCCTGTTGAGACTCCTGATCCAGCCCTTCAACCAGCGGAAAGACCTGAGGCTTATTTTACTCTTTGAAGCTCAACCCCCCCCCTTACCATGTTTGGGATGGAAGAACTCATGATGGATGTTTGGTATGGAAGAACTCATGATGGATGTTTGGGATGGAAGTTATGTCTGTAGAGCTGCTTGTCTCCAAAGGGCACCCATCCCATGGAGACCAGGATGAGAGTGGTGCCTGCAGCACGTCACAGACACCCTGTGACCCAGTGATGAGCACTCACTGCTGTGCCAGGCACCCCTCTGACCCTCACATGTTCCTCTCTCCTCACCTGCATCTTTTGAAACTCTGAGGGCTGTCTGCATGAAGTCAGGTGAGCAGGCACATAGCAGGCACGTACCACAATGCTGGTACATGTTTATCAGGGGAAACAGCAGGCACAGCCCCTGATACTATACATGTAGCTAGTTTATGAAACTGCTTGACGTAGTTTTTTTAACACCCTGACTTCTTGTCTGCTAACCCTGTTTGCTGGACCTGTTCCACTACAAGCTATTTTTGTCCATATTTTGTCACTCTCTGCAGTGTTTCTTTAGCTTTCTCTCGAGTGAGCCATTCTTGACCACTGCAGGACGTGTTCTTCAGCAGTAATTCAGGGGTGCCTATCTGTGACATGCCCCACACTTCCCTTGTTCCCACAAACAGACTGAGCATAAACATGGCCACAACAGGGGGAGACTTACAATGCCTTGTGATGGGACTTGGATACCTGCCTTCTTCAGGGGTCATTTGAAAATCTCTGCCAAAATCCTGTGTTTCCTTTAGGTTTCTTTGCTTAAAGGTGTGGGAGTTTTCCGCTCCAAAGAGCTAGCTGGAAAGCAAATTAATGCTCTCATTAGAGTTAATGCATTTAATTTCCACTCCTAACGTTCCATTTGTTTTTTTCCTGTTAGTGTTTAACTGCTCTGATACAAACCCACTGCACGTGAGCTTCCAAGTCTGTCTGCTTGGTGGAAAACAGAACTGTTTTCATCTGACTAGTGTTTGTGGGAAGGAACACTGAAGGTAAAGCAACTCTGGAAAACAAATACAGAACACTTGAGGGCAGGACAGCTCCAAAATGCAAACAGAAAGTGGATTCATAAGCTGAAATCCAGCAATCTTGTATTTCTTTATGAAGTATTCCGAGACTTGCGGCTCTTAAAAAGCACAGTAAAATAAATAGTGGATTAAATGGAGTAGAACCATGCAACTCTATTTGAGAGGGTTCCAAAGCAGAAGAAATACAGTGTCTTTTGGCACCTCTAGGATAGTGACCAGCTGTGGTTACTGATTCAATGATACTCTCACTTAAGTAGACTGGATAACCCTGAAGTCTGGGCTAAATTGGAATTCACATAATTATATGCTGCTTGTTATGTTCTCTTCCATTTTCAATTACGAAAATATTTGGTACTGTTCTCCATAAGCTGTTACTTAACTATTCTCTGATGTGAAATGGTTGCTGTATTTAACAGCACAGGTGGGAGGATTTTAACTGTAGAATTCATTAAATTAGTTTGTTGGTAGCATGACAAATCAAACCCCTCAGTCCTAACAGTGAAATATAACAGAGCTAGCAGCAAAGCTAGTGTTACTGTTGCTATGTGCTTTCTAGTCTAGTTTTCGTTTGCTTATAACTGCCAATCTGAGCTGAAATTTCCCTGTTGGGTGTCTGCTTCCAGCTGTTTTGTTTTAGTTTGTTTTGGTTATTTTGTTTTGTATTATGATTTGTTTGCTTTGGTTTTGGAAAGTTCCATTTGCAACAATCGAGCCAAATACAAGGATGAATTTAGGGGAGAATACACAGTTTTGTCCATTATAAACATAAGCATTTCACTGAACAGCCTCTAGCATCTCTGCTTTGCAAAAACAGCTTTCAAATTTGGCAAGCAAATTGCTTAAGTTACAGGGATATGTTTTTTCATCTTCATGAAAATGTGACCTGAAGAGAAAAAGGCTAAAAATGTTAAGTGGAGGCACAGCCCAGTCTCCAGAAATTTCCACCTATGTTGATCATGTGTGACCTTGTGTTAGCCCCACCTACATTATATCTGAATGTATGCACTCTCTCCTGAGAAAGGCTGAGCTTGTGCCTTGCTTTGCTTATATTGTGTCTAGAATAAGAAGCCTCTAAGGGAGTTGTAACGCAGCCCATCTCCCTCCCCTGAGATATTTTTGCTGAGGCTACCTGTGATTCGCCAGGACGTTGGCAGAGTGAAACATGTGAAAGACCTCTCTCTGCTGTAAGCTGTCTGTGGTTTTTTTGTTAGTCTTCCTATATTAACGCTAAAGGCTACTCAGAGTTGTAAGCTCCAGTTAGGAGTTAGTGCTAACTGCTATCCCAGAACATAATGTGAAACGGGAGGGTGTCTCTGAAATCGCAGACGCAGAAGAAAAGATCCTGAGGGTAGGGAAAAGGAGCAGCTAAGCACCCTGAGACAGCTGTAGTTCCAGAAGATTGAAATGCAAAGATTGTTATCTTCATTGGGTTTGACTATGGAAAAGGAAGAGGAGACAAAATATAGTTTCTAAAATGCAGATTCAGAGGCCTCGGGTTTAATAATCTGTAGTTAATTAAGGAAGAAGTCAGTTATTATGTTCCAGTACAAAAAAGTGACTGTTAAATTCTGCAAGCTTTTGTATCTGCACAGACATGGGTAGAGAAGCAATGAGGACAGTGGTGTTAAAGTAACAGAAGGTTGTTTTCAAAGGCTAAGGAGAGCGATGTACAACCTGTTGGACTGACTTTGTGAGTCATTACCCTGCAGTCCTGAGGTGTCACTTGTTTGAAAATTTATTATGAAAGCTTGGATCCAGAATCATCAATCAAATAGTAAAAGGCGGAGATACTGCTTTTTATAATAACCATAAAGTAATCTGACAGGCTGTCACATAAACTAAGACCTTTTATATGAACTAAACATATGAACAGGGACTGCAAAGCCTGCAAAGGAAAAAAAGATGGTTCCTTGGGCAGTGATTTCACGGGAGATAGTGCTCAAATTTAAAAGCTCACTGCTGCCAAAAGGGCCTCTTTATTTCCAGTTTTGCTTTTCAGTCCCTTATTTTGTGCAGTAATTGTTGAGTTTTACTCCTTCTCTCCCAGTCCTCATCGACTGAGTCAACTCAGTAGCCCAGCACAAACATAACCAGGCAGAAAAATGCATCACTTTCTGCTGAATTCATTCAATCAGTCATTTGTTTCAATTAGCTAATTCAGGAGGGCCTACAAAGCGTCAGGGCACAAAGGAAGAGCTGGGATTGCATGACTGAGTGGGAGGCTGGGGAGAGCCTCTGCAGGCATCTGCAAAAAAGGGCGAGATTACCTGGAGCCGTGCATTTTCTTTGACTTGTCAGGGAACTTTGCCTGAAATGCAAGAAAGCATTATGGTATGGCACCGTCTGAAATTCTTGGTAAATTCAGTGAAATGCAACTCAGAATTATGGCTGGTCAGTGGTATCTCAGGAATCTTCCCAGACCCTGAGTCCAGCGAACACTGAAAAAGGTACATGCCCACAGAAACCTTACTGTGGGCCTTGGGAACTGACAATATCCACAATTTTAGCGTGAGGTCTCCAGAGGAATTAAGTTCTAGCTACATGTAATAATGAAGAGATTAATAGGAACTAAATGCAAGAATTAGGTTGTGATATGCAGTGATTTGGGAGAGCATATGTAAAACTGTTTCTGCCCATCAGGCATAGTCAAAAGGCTGTAGCTGGTGTTAAGAGCAAGTGATTAAACTGCCTTGGGCTCTGCTCAGTGTAGTGATTTGGTTTTCCTATCTAAGTTCTCCAAAGCTGATAGACTTCATCTTCTGAAGAAATGGAGGTTTTCCTCTTCAGTATCCCAGGAGCCCTTGGTCTGACTAAATCCAGATTAGGACCACTAGCTGTGCTCTGCTTCTGAGATATCCCAAATTTCCCATCTTTTTAGTAAATATGTGGATTTTAAAGTGGTTCAGGAAGTTAGAGTGAAATCCCAGGGGATTTCAAAGATATTTGGAGTGGCTTGTTTGTCACTGTGTGGTGTTTTCAACTGATTGAAAATAACTCATGAGAATGAAAGTTTCTTGGGTCGAAAGAGGAATTTTTGTGTGTATAT